AACATTAACCTGGGAAGCCACGTATATTTTCGGATCGATTGTCGAAAAAACCGCTTCTCCCTTCAGGTGTGACGAAGATGGAACGCTCTTCCAACTCACGGCATTTATGTCCCAACATTAACCCTCATTAAAAGGCGTATTGATGATAATCTATCCCGTTTGTAATAAGTGTCACAGCGTATTTCCGGCGAAGTCGAAATAATGCCAACCTAGCAAAGTGCTCACTAGAACTATCCTCAGCTTCGCGGTTGTGAAACCTGCATCAGCGTTAATATGCATAGTTTGTAAACAGAACCCGAATCTGAGCTTTATTTCTGTCATTTTTAACTTTGGTCCTATAATCCCCACTTCGGTCATCTTACATACTTGTCAATCACTCGCTTTTTACCGTTTATAAATCTTCATCACACTTGGTTGTTTGTACCCCATTTATACGTGGGTCGCACGAGGAGGCGCCTATCTCAGAGGATTCGTGAACACATCCCGGCATGGTTTCACAAAAGTAAAATAAGGCCCTCAGACAGCTCAGTCATGTCGCACCTCCTTGAATGTGGCCATACAGCTTCAGAGAATGACTTCAAAATCATCTACTCACTACCGGAACACTTCTTCCAAGGATTCCGCAAACAGCTCTTGTCCATGGCCGAGGCTATCTACATTAAACATCTGAAGGCAGAATTATGCGTACAAAACGACTCATACGGCCCATACTGCTACCTTGACCAACAGACACCGTTACTTTGTTAGTTGGTTGTTACGTTACCTACCTAATTACTTCGAACTACTGAGCTTTGTGTATGAATGTTTATTTAGTTCACTCGGCATACCATCTATAGCACTGTCTCAAGTTATCGATTTTGATCGTTCAAACGGTTCAGAAGTTAATCCCAGCCAGAGATGATGCTTTCCCCAAGATTGGTTCTATGTAAACGTGTGGGTCTGATGAGAGTTTACCAAAACGAATTTTACCCTGAACTGAGTTCAGATATAGATACAAGCAATTTTGCTAGTTTCACCTTTCCCTGTAAGTTACTATTTCCTGTGCCGCGTTTGAAAAATCGACCGCTCACAAACACATTGATTTAGACTAATACTGCACTCCAGGCAAATCACTTACGGTCGTATCATCCTTTGGGGAACCTTCAGCACTTTGCATCTCATCTGTACGCTTTGAGGTTAGAAACTGTGATCATACGAGTACGAGTCCTGCATTCAGACTACTGGGTGACCGGAGATAGTCGGCGGCCGGAGTTAGTGTAAATGATTTTACTATAGGATGTAGAAACACCATGCACCATCATGATTGTTCCATGAGATCAAAATTCACCCCGACACCGAGATACGATTTCCCGTAATGGCTCGTTATAAGGTGACAGCATTATAAGCTGGTTTGCACCACTACTAGTTTGTGCATGAAAGCTGCAAATTTTCCTTAACCCCTCACAATTTGTCAGCATTCTGATTAGTAGCTATTCCGTATATCTGTTAAGGTGATGATCGTCGTCAGACTCTGCGGTTTTTTGATGAAATTACTGTTTCTAGCAAGGCTTTCTTCCAAGTAGTTCACAAGCCACATAGTAGAGCCTAGTCCGGAAAAGCACCACTGATGAGCCTCAATAGGGCGAAACGTGTCTGGTGCTTTTCCGGACTAGGCTCTACTATTAGCTCTACTATGTAGCCTTGTTAGAATTACAGCTAAAATCCTGCTACTCGTGAGTAATAGAAATTACCGGTTGACAGATCGCAGCAAATTGAACAATTCGCACGCACAATCTCAACTACAGCTTGATCTGAACAACGTCACTGATCGCTTCTCGACTGGTCAGAAATATAGCAACTTGGTAAAATATTTATTTAGTTGACTCATATGCAACTACGATACATGGGAAAGTCAATCACTTAATGATTGACTGTTTACTGGCTCTCCGGATTTTCTATATCATATTAAGCTAAACGTACCCACCTTTCCTATAAATTATAGTATGCCTTGTGTTTGGATAATTGCTTTATCTCCGTGCTACCAGTAACAATTAAGTAAAATATCATAACTCGAAATGCATTCATCTAGGCCTCCGCAAATAGCTTTTACTGTGGAACGTTTAGCCAATCTCACTGTTTCATCTGGGATTCCGGATAATTATTTGGCGGAAGACATGAAATATCCACGAGCCACAGTGACGGAAGCAGTTCCGTCACAGTGTATTTGAATCGCAGAATCTCACGAATGACGCAAATCAAAATCCCCAAACGCTTGATTGGACATCCACGGAAGAACTCGATGATAGTTCACTGCTAAGGGAAGGCAAATCCGCCTATCAGCAGATCGCAAAAATCTTCAGTGCTAAGCACAAACTGCTGGTCAAGCACGTGAAAAGCCTACGAAAGTTGAGGCAAGGATTTCCTCCACTCAGGACGGCTGATGGCCCAACAAAGACGGTTGTGAAAGCAGCAAACGCGCTGCGGATGCAATACGCCCCCACGTTTCATAGTGTCTTGCTACCAAGTGATCTTCCAACCTATGTCGTCTCCTCGCCAGGACTAACCACATCACTTTTACCGCGGAGGCTGTATTGCCAAAGCTGACCTCTCTACGCAAAGACAGCTCGCCGAGTGTTGACACCATTCGTCCAGTGGCACTGGAAGCAGCAGCAACTCAATCAGCAGGTACTTTAGCTCAGTTTTTCCAGCGCTGCTAAGACTAGAATCAAGTTCCCGCCAGGTGAAAGCTTGGAATAATAACCCCGATTCACAAAGGTGGAAGCAGAAATAATCCCTCCAATACCGCCCGGTGTCTTTTCTTCCTATCCTCTCCAAGGTCATGGAATCCATAGTTGCCGATGCACTGGCGTGCTATCTGGAAAACTGTAACAGCATCACGCCTGAGCAGCACGGTTTCCGTCGAGAGCCGTCATGTACAACGAATCTACTCTTCGTTCGTAGTAGTTGGTCTGAGGCAGCTGACGCTGGAAAAGGCGTTGATGTGATCAACCTGAATTTTTTGAAGGCTTTCGATCGTCTAGTCTATCGGATTCGATTCTCAACTCTCCAGCATTACGTGATCAGCGACCCTCTTTTAAGCTGTATTTTTTCAACTTTCTACTTCAACGGCAATTAATGGCCAGAGTTCGGAGATATTTATCAGACCCCATCCAAGTCAAGTGTGGTGTACCGCAAGACTAATTTCTAGGTCCGCGTTTGTTTTAAGTTTCCTAATATTTGCCGACGATATCAAGATCTGGCGCAACACCCAGGCGAACGCCGACCAGCATCTGCTTCAGAGTGACCTAGATACGGAGTATCAATGGTCAAGCCAAAACTTACTGCATTTCAATGTAATTAAATATAAACTGCTTTCTATGCGACATCAGAGCAAATACTCATACCGGCTCGGAACGAATATACTATAACAATCAACTGTCGAACGTGACATGGGTGTGCTGTTTCAAGATGACGGGTTGTTCCAGGCAATCCGAAAAGGCTTCGAAGACCGGAAACCAACAGGTCGGGCTGTTGAGGCGGGCGTTTGGACAAATAAATAGCTCTATATTTCGACCAATGCTCACTGCGTATGTTGAATACGCAATACAAGTCTGGCATCCATGGCTGAAATACGACCTTAATGCACTGGAGCAGCCACGACGTCAGATATCTAAGAGCGTAATTGGCATGCGGAATCTTTCATACCAGGTGGGGCTGCAACAATTAGGGGTATTCCGCGGAAGCTATCGCAGATTAAGAGGCAACCTGATTATGGCATACTTGATTCTGCGAGACCCACATCAAGTGTGCCACCCTTTACTGCAACTCCGCAGAAATACAACCTTGAAAGGGCCACTCATTATTACTAGCTGTATAGTATAGCTGTCTGGAGTGCCGCAGAAATTTCTCTTCTCTTTGTGTATGTCACCCGTGGAATGCTCTCTCAGAATCGGTTGTCTCTGCACCGAAAATAATAGTATTTAAAAGACGGTTGGATGATGCACTTATCCACTTACCCTTCTTCATTTAGCACTACGTCTCCATCCTACACCTGGAGTTTACCATGGAATTAGCTAATCCTAACTGCGGATGCTGTGTATCTAAGCGGACGGCAGGACTGCGGCGGGGCAAACGATAAGTTCTTATTTTCAAATTTTGAATACTAACTGTTTTACTTTCGTTATTATCTTTATTGTTATTTCGATATCCCCACCAACTATCTAACGGGACTTGTAAAGCAACTCTACTTAATGCGTATAAATTCATTTTTCATTGTTATGATGGATAGATCTTATTTTAATCACTACAACATGGCTGGGCCGAAAATAATGACTCTTGATTAGTCTGGCTGTTGCTGATTGCTTACGGTAAAAACTATCTCATAAACCTGCCGTACGGCGACGTTTGCCTGATTGTTGTTGAAAACAACTTGTTGAATGCGTCAAAATATCTAAATCTATGGAAAGTGACATCAGGAAAGCTATTGATCGAAAGAAATCCACGGAAACGTTTGGTCAACATACCTTACTCGAGTGCCGTTTATAAATAAATAAATAAAATAAAGCCTTGGAATTAGCATATACTTCTGTTTAAAGAACGAAAGATATCTGTGGCCTGTGTGATATTACACCTGAGCAGAAACGGTGGAATAAACTAACGTACAAAAAGTGAGATTGTTCACGGATGGTTCTCCTCGCAGATTAACACATGAAACATTGTCACTTTTTATAAAAGGAGTGGCGGAATTTATTTCTGGTGGATTAATAAAGGGTACTAAAGTGTACATGGTTACGCGTGCTTCGCGTTGTCTCAAGAAATAAACTTTTACGTGTATCAGTTAGAAAATAGTGGAACAGTGGCAAGCATGAAGTATAAACAGCAGAAATCCTGCCATCCCCAATTTAGCCAACAGTAACTGTTGCCGTGGCAACCGGCGCTGGGAAGAATAGTAGCAAACGTCTTTGTTCTACGCTTCTATTGTACTGACACTTTACCGAATCCGCAGCTGCGATACTGTGATGTTAAACGTTTCCTAGTTCGGTCTCGACTAAGCGAAACGCTTCCAAAAATTCGTTGAAGTCGATCTGTCCATCTTTGTTAAAGTCGATAGAGCGCGCCAAATCCGTTATGCTAACTTCGTCGAGGTGAGTAGGCGCTGGTAGACGAAGACACGTCGCCTTGAATTCATCCAATGAAACGAGACCTGGAAAGTTAATGTCAATTTAGGTAAGTAAGTACCTGGGTACAGTTAAACATAAACTGCGAGCAGGGGGTTGGATGACAATGCCTAAACAGCCAACGCACACCCTTGCGTCGAAGCAGCACACTGATCCAAAGGAATCGGCTCGAAAATAACGGTGGTTACGCTTAATATCCAAAAAAGAAACAAAGTTTACTACACTGGGTGTTAGGCTTAGGAAAGGTTTCAACAGATAACTTTGTATAAGTGCTCTGCTCTTCTCCGTTTGAACCGGGTGAGTTTAGACAATTAACGCTGAGACATTGTAACTATGGGATTATACTAGCCGTGGAAGCAAGCATGAGGACAGAGGCTTCTGATGAGAAATAAGTAAATAAGTACCTAGACGTGTATTCTTGTTAGAAACAAAATATGTTATTTATTACATGAAATAATCAACGATTGACTGGGGGACACAGACCTTTAATCAGAGTTCGGATGTAACAATAGCAAGAAATACCTTAAACGACCAGTATTGTGTGCCATAAAATACTGCAAATGAGTACACGTGCATTATAATCGAATTTACTATGTCAAGCCACAGTTCAAAATGAAAACATCAACTGCAGAACACGCACAAGACCATGGCGTCTGACACAGGGCTGTTGAAGAAATGCCCATACAAGCATCATTTAATATATCTTCCCGTATCCCAAAGCAAGTTGCATTGTGCATGCTGACATCTTCTGGAAGCATTCCGATGTTTGCCCCGATTTTGATGTGTGCAGATAGCCAACCACTTGGAGGAAGTTCTCCCTCGTTCATTTCAAAAGGAGTCCGAAAAGCTGCAATCTTTATCACACTGTGATTGCGCAGCTGCACTGTTTTGTAATCCAGCCACATTCATTTAGTTGCCAGTTGACAGCCAAGTTGATTAAAACTGCAGTGTGTGAAACACTGCGTATCATTAGCAATCTAAAAGATTTCCATTCATAAGGTATCCCCATTTGAGTCAGAAGTAAGCAAATGCGCTCAGCAAACCGGGCGTCAGCCCAATGACATGAGTTTAAGTATAGTAGCTACTGCAGTAACAAGTGCAATGTCAAAAATAACCATCCGTGTAGGTATATTTTCTTTATTGCAAACTCAAACTCGTCACTTCCCTTCTGGTTCCTTCGTAGTTTGAACTGCCTATGTCGGCATTTATGGTGTAGGCAGTCGAGATCGAAAGTATGCCTTAATAATTGACAGGCTGATCATCAGGCCACTAATGACCGCAGAAAGCTTTCGTACAGGTATTAATCATCATTGATACGTTTTAGAGCAACTACTGTGGTTGGATTAAAACACACATTTGGAAGTGGAGTTTGGATCCTGTACGAATTTAGCCTCAGTCATTCCGATCGCTAAAAAGCACGCATCTTGCTCACCTCATAAACAGTAATCCAAGATAGATTTCATCATTGTTGGAAACTGTAAAGCCCCTGTCACGCAATGCTCGGCAATTTCAGTGACCTACTAGTTAAGACATCAGTTGCTAGTTAGTAAACGCAGGGTTTCATTCTCAGCTCAAGTTATCTCTAGCTGAAGTCTCCAAATAAGGAGGAAACCGATCATGAAATAAAGTGTTTTGAGAAAGAAACACAGTAACTCTCTCCAACTCGGATGTAATCCTTATGGTTAAAATCATTGCGGGTTGTTAAACTGACTTGAGATTCAAACTTTGATCGCCTATTTCGAATCTAAGCACAAGGTGAAGACAACAAATCCAAACGATAAACCATAGAAGGCATACTTAGTAAGTGTACTTCCTTGAGCAATCAAAATGCGCACGTTTCTATTTCGTCCAAATGGCTAGAAGAACCGTATGATGCAACGTCAATCGGAAAATCAGGTGTCTCAGTACCAATGCTAGGTTGTACAACCTAGGAGGGCTTTAAATTCAGTGCGTAGTTATAAAGAGGTTACAGGATAATTGCTGCGTCATGGATTCGAATCTTCTCACTGACACTGCTGTCTGACACGAATTCGAACAAAGCTTTATTATTTCGTTCGTGAGACACAGGATTGGAAGTGATTAACCCTGAATATTTGTCTAGGTCGTCAGTTACTTTGCCAAATGGAAACTAGAACACACTCGCATTGTGCACGTGGTTGCACGTCGCCATTCGAACATGCGAACTAGTCAGCCAACCTCTGCTATTTCCTTGCAATAATTTTTTACTACATGTCTTCCGCTTGGTGCGCGACGTATTGCCAATGAGCTCACAGTACCTGTCTTGGTGTTGCAGCTTGGCTCACTCACCCGTCACTTCCCAATGGACCGAAATATCTATCTTTCAGATGTCCAAAGGGCGATGGTAGATTAGATTAATTGTGGATGTTTGTGAGTAGTGTATAGTTTGTAGAAAGTAGAAGTCACGATTAAAATTCACGGATTTAGTGTAACATTACACATGCGAACAGCTGCAGGGGCCCCCGCCTATAGTGGAACTGTGAATGTTGAAGAAGGGGACAACAAAGGCGTTGAAATCGATCGAAATAGTTTAAAAATTACCTTGTTGTTACAAAACCGATGTATAGCTGATTGCTAATGAAACTATCCAAGAAGATGTGATATCGTTCAACATGGCAAACTCAGACAGAAACGATATTGCAAGCACTCACATCAGGTTAGGCTGAATCAGAAAAAACGCTTGGGGATTGACCCCCCTTCCAGTAAAACTCGGCTAATTAAGTACGGCCAAGATGAAGCAAAATGATCCAGTCCATACATGATCGTTCTCAGCGTCGTCACTCGATATGGGCGTACACTCGAATAGGTAAGCAATTCTACGCAGTTGAAATGATTTGACCTTATGCATGGACATGTTATTAACATTTGTAACCTAGAGTACAAAAGTAAATTACACACCAATTCTATTGACCTAAGAAAACTACATACAATCTACGTATTTAGTGTCTGTCTGTTTTTTAGCCTGATAGGAGCATTTGTTAGTTTTCGAAAATGTTTCTCGCAGCTAATCGACACCATAGAGCCATCACACGTCTAATGTTGCGTAAAGCGGTCGTTTTGACTTGTTGTGAGTCCTCTTTAGTGAGCTTCCATTGGATTCTCTTGAATCTAAATCAATTGACTTACTCAAAATGGCCAACGGCTGCAGCCACCGAGCCATTTGTAATGGCAGGGGTTCGCAATGACTGCTTACTAGTTGGAACATAGTAAGGATCATCTCCTTTGCTATACATGTTGCGAACGTATAGAGGAAATGGATGGCCCTTAGAGTTACGGCTTCCTTTGCAACCAGCTAGAATTCGAGCACTTATCCGGGGCCGAGGTGAGTGTCCATGAGTCCGACCGTAAGGCATCGTCACGAAAACCAGCAGTAATATTAACAGCTAAACGATTGCCGTATCGTTCCATTTTCATATTCAACAATCCACCATGATATCACAAAGAATGTACTTGTCCGATCTCATTTTGTTTAGCAATCGCAAATGTCGGCACGAATACGTATTCGATTGAGGAGCATACTTATAACAACTGGATATAGCCCATAGTTTTGCTTGAAGCGCACATGACGAATTTAATTTTTGGAAGACTGGTATACATCGCATTTCATAAATCAATTAAACACGCTCATGCTACCTGAGTTATCCTTGTCCATTGCACGGAAGATGCTCTCCAAATTATCGCGTTGTTTGTACAGTTCCTCGGTCACAGATGCGGGAGCCTAGCAGTATAGACAAGAGAGGACAAAGAGTTTTGCACATTGGAGGGTTGATGCAACATATATTCATGAAAAGTATTTACAAACCACATATTATGTTAACTGGTCAAGTGGCAAATTGCCAAAATCGAGGGAGCTCAAAGAGATGCATAGTTAGAAAATGGCCGGTAACTTGCTGCAGAAAAGGTCTTTCTATGATAAAACGGGGAATTGCAACTAATGGAGAACCCCGCACTAAACTATGGTTCTTTGTCTGAACACAACAATAGGTGTATTCTAAGTAAACCTGATGCCATTTGTTCGTCTGAATTTTACATACCGTTTTAGTGCTTCATGTACAAATGCTTCGGTTTGCTAAGTAAAATCTACGGATGTCTGTCGTTGCACATGGTTGGAAGCTGACATTAAAGCAAAGACTTTATATATATATATATATATATATATATATATATATACGTACGCACCTGAAATTTCAGGTGTGAGCCATGAGCGAGGCCACACGGGACCAGTACCGAAGCGAAGACGGGTCCTGCAGAGAAGTATTCAGAACCGGCGCAGCGTTTGTAGGTACGCTGCATTCGATTTATTAACCGCGTGCTTGCATGCTAAGTCACTTTATTTCAGGTGGTGGGTTTACAGTTTTGCCTAAATGCTTTCCTTTCTCATATAATTCTCTACCTTTACACCATTCCATTAACTTGCACACCTCGCTTAAGCCAATTGTATTCGATTTCCATAACATTTTTGTCTTCGTGGCATTCCGTAAAGTATACTTTCTAAACTCGTGAACTTATCTAGGATTCGTTTGTAAACAACTTATTTCATATGCTCACTAACTTAAGGTTAATGTCACCGTTTCCTTATGCATTAATCGAGTTATTTTCTTTGCCTCTCTCTCTCTCAAGTGATTGGCTGTTGTTTGATATCCCCGGTGTGACTGCGCTTGATGTGCATGTTGACAAGGTGCCTACCTGTCTATTACCCACTACCTCGTCCATACTGGCTCCAGGAGACAGTTGGTCGTTGCTGGAGGGGATGGGGTGCACGGTCCTTGTGGCCGTGTTAGGATCAAAGAGTGGTTCCATGCCCTCAGTCTGGAGTGGACTACGGTCCAGCCACCGCCTTGTGTGCGCTTGATTCCCAAATACAGTGTGCTTGTGTTTGCCTCTGAAGGAGTGTGGGCCGGCTCCGTTGATGAAACGTGGTTCCCATCCGCATGCCTCCCGGTCTTATTCCTTCGGGTTTACACTGGATGTGGGGTGTGTGGTTGGAGCTGTGGGTGGTGCAGCGCAAGCCACCCGTGGTCCCTCTGTAGGCGCAGGCGTCCTGTGGCTTGCCACAGTGACAGGCAAATCCGAAACCGGATGCCGCCAACCATATGTACGCAAAAGCCATCCGTTAAAACCATGGCCTTTAGACTCAGAATAAGATGGTGCATTTATGCGGAAATGTCTCACTTGTGGCTACAAACTCATTTTAGGCTGTCGAATATTCGGTGAACCACAAATGCACTTTATATGAATCCTGGGTAAAGTGGTTACTAAGCTCCAGTTTTCCAATCACCGCTCAAACCCATTGGGCTACATTGTGTGGATGGTGGTCGCTGCGTACCATACTCCAAATGGGGGAAAACATTAAAATCTCACTAAATTTCCATACCAACTAATTACTAGAATTGCTTTTCCGAACCTCATGGAATGTCAACAAGACTATTGCTTGCTACACCATGATACTAATGTCTCTATTCACCAGCCGTATCCTTTGCAAGAATGGTTGGTGTTATGCAGTATACTGGCTAGTAATCTGTTCACACAGCGGATGGCCATCGTCACCCATTGTGTAGTGAAGGTATTCCCTGACTGCAGGCTAAATTCGGCAAAGGTCACATTTTGACTGATTAAATGAGGATATTGATAAATCACAGTATGGGATACCATTCAATGCCCCTACTACTCTTTTGGAATTACAACATACTGAAACGGCTGTCTTCCACTTTCTTGCAATTAGTGGAAGCGCGATACATTATATCAATGACTGATAACTATGAAAATCATTCCGTGCAATTAGCCCGCGTGCGTCGATTTTCGGAAGACTGCCACAAGTAAGACAAGCGTCAAGATGGGGTCTGTTTGATTATTCCACGTAAGATGGCATACCAAAAAGTGAAATAACGAGATCAAATACATAGAGTATTTCTTACCGACGTCAGTGCATTACGCACGTTGATTTTTTGAAACGTTGTCGCGTACTCCACCATATGCGTCTCTTTACACATGGTAACAAGCTGAGGTTGGAGAGTTCGCCAAGGAAGCTTCAGGTCTAATACATGCTCCATGATTTTAACCCAGTCAGCCAAGGGGATTCGACCTAGATGGCGGAGAGAGTGTGTGGAAGTGGTCATTAAGACTGTCATAGGTTTGTATCTGATATCTGGCTGCTATCATTTCCTGTGGTATTTCTATTTTTATCTATAGTGTCGGACTGATAGTTGACTCAGCCCTTTACCGATGATGTATAGCAAAGCAAAACATTCTCAGTGACTAAAGTAAACAGGTCTTGTGAGTTGCATCCTTTAACGTCGAATGCGGATGTGTAGCCAATTTTATTGGTTTCGCATAACCCCGTTGTGGAATCAAGTTCATGTGTCAAACTGAGTGCCACCTTAATCGAGCGAATCATTTGTTTAGAACCTGGTTATTAAAGCCGCAGAATTAGGACATTCCACCGAACGCAATAGATAGTCTGGTATATGGAAGCAATTGTCTACGCAAAAACAAAACAGAAGTTTGGGTTGACTGACTTTGTATATCAGTATAATTGTGGACCTAGGACTAGACAATCGCTTTCATGTGGTATCAATGTTGAAGATGACTCACATCACATATAACTGGCGTGCCTTTGTATCCTCACTCAATGATTAACTTTTATTTTTTGGTTTCTAGTTATTAAACGCCTTTTTAAACACCTCGAGCTCTCCTAGACATCATGGGTGGCAAACGTCGAGTACATTTGGGTTGGCTGAAAAGCGCTCAACGCACAAATCTCAACTCTTGCAGTCCAACTGCTTTAACAAACATCTAGCAAGTATGTGAATATACCTTCAGAAATAAACGAAGCGCATTCCGTATCTACCACTGGCATGAAAACCGTTTCCCCAACGTTTATAGATTACTCCAATCCATTGATATTCTACTTGTTTCATGTGCCCTTTAATCCTCGATTATTATGAACGAGTTGCTTTCACCAATACTTCTTGGTTTCTTGCAACAGCAGAAAGATTATTCTCATTGTTATCTATTCTCCGCTGATTTCCAGCTTCTTATCGTTCGAATGATGGCACCTATCTTCCGTATTCGTTAGATTCTCGGGTCCGTATAACGAAACATACCCCAACAATGATTCCTCTTTTATTAAAAACTTAATGCACACCCGAATGGAACGGATACACTAATCGTTCTAGATCCGTTTTATATTTTTAACCTTCCGATCTCAGTGCATAATTCTAAATGCTTTCATTTGTAGTACCTCATGCTCTAATTCAAATGGCTACCCCATACTGACGACAGATCGCTGAAGTGAAGAGATCAGTATCTTTAATGTGACATGTGATTAATAACCAGGCACTAAAATGCAACGTGGTTTCATATGTCAACTTTCGCATCTCACGTTCTGGCATTCGTGAAAATGTATATGTAAAACCGAAGAAAAATTACCGCGTTTTTAATAAAGAAGCCAATTGCTTGATTATCATATGATTTGGAAGTGCACTTTTTGTTAAGAGTTCAGTCCGCTTTCGACCCTTTGTTGCTTATAATGATTTGGATCTACAAACATACCAGCGGCCAAGTCAAATTACGAAAATAAGTAGTTCTTTATTGATTTTGAAATACAAATTAACATTCAGCGTCTTTTATCGTTGCTTCACAGATATACCTTGTTTCCCTATTTAGCCATTTGTGCCCGGTACCAACCAACTAGGGATCTATGTACTGGGAAATCTTGGGCAGTTTAACAGTGCTATCGAAATCTTTCTTATATTTAAATCAGTAGGAAGCATAAAATCGGAGTACCAAAATTCATTTGAATAGGTTTCTTCGTTCATACACTTACGTACTCTATGTCCCAATACCACACACTTAGTTATCATGAGGATAAGGAATAAACGTCACCTTCCGTGTCAGTTGATGATGAATACAATGGTAACGGAAGTTAAGCGTTTTGACGTTTCCGTAAGATGAATATTGGGTGTTGACACTTTCCGTGAAAGACTGGTCACGCCATTTGAGGCGCCTCCCACATAAAAGATGGTAAATTTTGTTTACTTATAATTGTTATAAGCACGACCTACGATGTATAGCTTTCTAGGTCTACGCTTTAATGGAAATACTGATTTAACCACCAGGTAAAGAAAATCTGATCAGCCATGGACGGCAGAACATTCGTGGTATGCAGATTATTGTCATGTTTATACATTGCAGCCGCAGTGCATGAAGGATTTGTTTGATTCAATGTATACGAGCCTACGAATGGCACCCAGAAAAAGAACATTACGATGTGCGAATAAACTTTGCTGATAGTATTATATATAGCCGAACAGAAGGCAATACTTGGAAGCATAAATGCAGTAAAAGTTTGTGAATCTGCATTAGAATGTGTTATACAGCAGTGTGTCGTATAGTGTACTTTATAAATGGATAAACTTCTAAAAGATCACGTTTGTTTTTCGTGTAAAATTTTGATTCCCATACCCAGTCTTGAAATATAATCTCTGTGTTACTCTATCAGGCAGTGAAATTAAAGCCTTAGGGATAAACTCTCTTGAACTGTAACTGTGGTTCTGTGCGTAGTTGACAAAAAAACTTCCCGCATTTTAAGTTACAATGTGATCGATAGGCCCATTATCACTAGTGAAACGGTGTCTTTTACAAGTTGGTGAAATTCTCTTTAAAGCTACGCTGTGCTTGGGCGTTTTGTGTAGGATAGTAGGATGGATTACCCGTAGCGTTAACGAGATGCGATTGCATGTGTTTTGACTGAGCGTTTCTACGCAACTATCTCTAGGGTGTAACCTTTGAAGATAGATGGCAGACAAGATATGCTGCAGGAACAGTGCACAATAGCTTCCAGTTTGACGAGTCATCATATACACACTATAACATCCTAGATTTAATGAGGAGATTTATGCAAAATGGAACTTCCATTGTCCACGCTCTAAGGAGAGCACTTAAAAGGACCCGATAAGCTTTATCAATTTTGCCCATCGTCTAGCTATTTCTGCGTGTAACATATTAACACTCACTCGGTAACAACTAACACTGAATGGGCGTGAATCCATATTTTTCATTTAATATAAAACATTGTCGAAATTTTCAGGCCCCTGGAAAACCTTGGAGGGTCTAACAGTGTCTCCAGAGAGCATACGTATACCCATTTCATTGGGAGACTTACATCAAAGAGTGATGTACCCTCTATGAATAACTTGGATATAAGGAATACGTTCGAGTGTAGACTTTCGTTAAAACACACTTAAAATATACTCCGTTCTAATTACACACTCAGGTATCATGCGGGAAATGAAAACAATCTCATCTCCTGAGTCAGATGAAAATGACATGGTAAAACGTTTACGATTTCCAGATGATAGCGACGTTTTCTTTCTCCTGAGTGCAACATCCGCCAGATATGCAATTTGCCACAATTGGATGGATATATTAACACCGCATATTGCATACGAAATACAGCCAATGAAATTAAAGGAAGCCGAAACTATTGAACACGTGATGTTAGATGCGTACCAAAATCCTGTACAGTGGAACAGACAGTTAATATTCTAATGTTCGTTTAATTATAGCACATGACCATCCATAGGATATTACGCTGTAATAAAATAAACTAGCAAAGTAACTGGGGATAGTTTCTTTTGTGGATATCTGTTAAAACTTGACTTTAAACACTACAAGCGCCTGAAGTTAAACTGTGCCAGATACAGCAAATTAAAAAGCCAAACCAAGTTACTAAATACACATCTCTCTTGCTTTCATAAACGATCTCAAAAGAGTGTTCATGATAAACTCTCTAATCTTTACCCACCGTCGTTGGTTAACAAGCACAGTAAGACGATGAGATAAAGTTTGTGACCGATCTACGGCGAACTAACTTCGAACTCATGCGAACAGATGGAAAGTATCGTACATACGTTTATGACGTACAATGAACAATGATTTGTCACGGCATAAAAACAAGTGCTTGACACATCCCGTATGATTGTTGGGGTGAATACGATAAAAAGTAAAATATGTGTATGTCATCTACCGAACGTCTGCCGAGCTGAATACTTTGCAAAATAACATGTGTGAAATCAAAAAACCAAGCGTAAACGTTCGGAAATACACTGGGGTGTAGTGATCATTGATATAAGGCGTGAGAACAGCAAGCTATGTTCGCGCACTGGGGTCCATTTGATACATAAATCCTGTAGAAAAGCATGCTTGGTGTAATCCACAATAGAGGAGTTTAGGTAACAAAATGCTGGGAGCTAAAAGCAACATCTAATCGTTTTTTGAACACGTCCAAGGTAGGGGGGATGAAACTGATTCTGGGAGTGCGTTCCAGGCATAGCAAACCCGAAGGGAAAACCAATTCCGTAGACACTCTAGATGGCTATATTGTTCCTTCAATTTTAAGCCGTTACTCATGAGCTGCTTGTGGTTGCTAAGTTTTAGCAAATGGCGACATACGTGGTTGGGTTCACTCAGTATCTGATACGCTAATATGAGATCGCCGCGCAGTCTTCGATAGCGTTCGCTGAAGCTTCCCAGAAACTTCAGCCTTCGGTGGTAAGCGTGACAGCGCAGGCCCTTGAAATTCCTTGTTGCTCTTCCTTGAGGTGCCACTCTCCCCTCTAGGCCGTACTTCAACTATGGTTGCCAAGCTTGGATAGCGTATTCAACATTCGGGCGCAGGTCGGAATTGTGCTTCATTGGAAAGATTGATGCGTACAATCTCCCGAATGCCCTTCGCAGCATGCCGACGTGCTGGTTGTCTCTTTTCGCAGCTACCTCAACCTGTTTTGAACAGTTGACTTCGCTTTGCACGAGCACACCAAGGTCACGTTCCAGGGAACTGGTATGCAATCAGTTTGTCCCAAGCAAATACCTATATTTATGCCTGTGGCATAATTGCACAACGAGACAATTGTCTACGTTAAATTGCATTGCGTTTTGAACTGACCAGTTCGACACTGTGTTAAGATCGCACTGGAGCCTTTCGGGGTGGTCCGGTCCTCTGATCCATCGCCATATCTTGATATCATTAGTGAAAAATAGGAAAACGGAA